TATAGGTCTACACTGACCATATAATGGAGTTCAGACTGCAATATATTGCAATGCAGGCCCACTTTTAGACAATTCTTTTAATGTTTGCAATAAAACTCAGTGCAAGCTCATTGTCCTACTGATATACAAGTCTCCACCAACCATTGCTTGTTAAGAAAGCAGTTTTCCCGGGAAATTTGCATGTTACATTATTTTTAGACATAGCTTGTTAAACATACGCAGATTTTTTTAAATACTCATTCGTTTATCTATATACATTCACGGACAAGATTTATAAATTTAATTTCTTACCAATATTGTTTTCTCTTGATTTGCTTTTTGCAGGTTTTGCAAAAATGAGTAAGAACCTTCAGGAGCTAAGGTAATAGTTGTTTTCATGCTAATACAGAAATTTCACCAATAATGTACAGATAACATTTCAACTAAAAAAATGTTGATGATCATTAATATTTTTATGGAGAACATTGTGGAATTATCTGTCAGTCAATCCAACCATTAAGATAGGTAATTTTTGTTAGTCAAGGCATGTGTGTTAATACCTATTAAGTCTACTGATCACCGTAATGTAGCAGTATATTCTGGATGAAAATACAGGTTAAGTATCACTTATCCAGAAATCTGAAATGAACGTCTGAAATTTTCCATGTGAATAATAGTGTTGCCCCTCAAGCCAAGAAATACCTCTGTACTTAACCACCTCCACCTCTAGGTTAAATCAGCAAGACAGTTTATTGAAGATTATATAAAAAGCAAACAGAAAAAATAGTAAAAACTTCAAAGTTCAAATGTATCAATAACCCATAAGGTACCAGGTGCAAAAATAATCAAGAGTCCCAAGGCAGCAAGGCAGCCAAAAAAGGAATACAAGAAAACTCAAACACAGAATCCAATACAGTAAAACAGGAACAAACCCTGGTCCTTGAAAATAAGAACACGAACAAAGGCACATAACTAGACGTCTCTAAGCAGGCATGGCCTGACAAGAGCTGTTGTCTCCATTATCAACGTTGACCAGACGGCTGGGCAAAACTCCCAGCCTCCCTAATGTACCCAAAAAATCATGTCTTTTCACATGAGGTTCAGATATGGGCCTCTTTTCTAATAAGCACCATGGCCTTCTACTAAAACTAGGTCTCCTATCAACAAACTCGTTACCATTATCTTGAAGGTCACTATTCTCAGCACCTGGAGTTTCAGGCTCTGAACTCCTTTTCCTAGATATTAGCTCTGCTGGATCCTCTGGAATGAGGCCTTGACTAGTTGGAGACACAGACTGCTCAGTTTCAGGACTTAAAATCTCAGGCCTAGAATCCCTACTAACAGTAATATCGGATACCACCATGGGCTGAACTACAACACTGAGGTAGTGACAACTAATATAGAGGTAATGAAGTTATTAAAACACAGCATTGTATAAAACTTCCTTCAGGATATTTGTGTATAGTATATAAGAAACAAATGAACATCATGGTTTGATTTCTACACGGAACACTTTGAAAAACAAGCCCTTGAAACAGCAACCAATAAGCCCACTATATGGTTCAGATATGTGGATGACACCTTCACTATTTGGAGCCATGGAGAAGAAGAACTTAACAGGTTCCTGGAACATCTTAACAGCATCCACCCAAACATCCAGTTCACCATGGAAAAAGAAAATGAAGGAAGACTGCCTTTTCTAGATGTCCTAGTCATCCGCAAACCAGATCAACAATTGGGTCACACCGTTACAGAAAACCCACACACACAGATAGATATCTACATAAAACTCCAACCATCACCCAAGTCAAAAAAGAAGCACCATTAAAGCCTTGGCAGACCGTGCAAAAAGAATCTGCGAACCCCACCTCCTCCAAGATGAACTGAACCACCTCAACTGGGCTCTACAGGCCAATGGATACTCCACCTCAGACATCAGAAGAGCTGCAAGACCGAGAACAAGCCACGAGAGTAAAGACAAACATCCACCCATCTTGATGTTCTTGCCATACATCAAGGGAACCACTGACCGCATAGGGAAGCTGATGAGGAAACACAACATACAAACTATCTACAGACCCACCAAGAAAATCCAACAAATGCTACATTCAGCAAAGGACAAGAGGGATCCTCTCACTTCTGCAGGAGTCTACCGTGTACCATGCAGCTGTGGACAAGTCTACATAGGGACCACCAAACGCAGCATTGCCCAAACACAATCAAGGAACATGAAAGGCACTGCAGACTACTTCAACCAGAAGTCAGCCATAGCAGAGCACCTGATGAACCAACCTGGACACAGCATATTATTTGAGAACACAGAAATGCTGGACCACTCTCACAACCACCATGTCAGACTACACAGAGAAGCCATTGAAATCCACAAGCATGTAGACAATTTCAACAGAAAGGAAGAAACCATGAAAATGAACAAAATCTGGCTACCAGTATTAAAAAAACTCAAAAATTACAACAGCAAAACAGAGAGTAAACAATCAGGCACATCAAATCACCTCTCAAAGAAAGATTCCCCCAGGCACTTCCAAGCCATTAAATGCTAATCAAGGTGGTCAGTTGAAACATTCACACCTAGCTCCAGCAGACAAAAGTCCATTGTCCCACCCTGGTCTTTCCACATATATATAAACCCATTTTCCTACTTCCAACAGACCTCACTACCTCTGAGGATGCTTGCCATAGATGCAGGCGAAATGTCAGGAGAAAATGCCTCTAGAACATGGCCATATAGCCTGGAAAACCTACAACAACCCAATCATGGTTTGACTCGGTTACTATCTCCAAGATATCTCATTAAGATGTTTATCAAGATATATTCTTCTTGTCTCAAGCATTTCAGATAAGGGATACTCAACCTGTAACAGGTTTCATTGTGGGGTGAGTAATAAATGTTGCAGGGTGTATGTTGATATCATACCATTTGATTACACAGGGAAGCATTACAAAAACAAACACAAGAGACCTTAAAGCTCCAGGAAGAAGCAAACAAATTCTCAAAAGAATGTGTCTCACGCCGGGAAACAGCTAGTTATCCTTGTAATATTGTTTCAGGTATGTACAACACATATGCATAGTTGTATAGCAATTAAAGAATACTTTGAAGGATGTTTTTCCATAAGTGGCTATTGTTGGGGCAAATAATTTCATCCAACAAATTGAAAATGAAACCTAAGAGAACTTGTTTAGACCCCTTGGATCCTATACAAGGAGAAAGTTGGTATATAAAAATTGGATAAAATAAGAAAATACTTCCTTGGACAAGTGTCTTAATCTTCAAGTCCAGTTCCCTGTTGATAATATAAAATTAGCATTGATCTAGTCTACACAAGTGATGTAAAAATCAACATTAGAAAGTATAAAGTATTATATACATTTCAAAATAGCATGCAAATCATTGTTGGTGAATGAAATAACTTTACTATTTCATCTTTGCCAACCATTTTTGATGGAGAATTTCGGTTACATGCACACTGTCTCCAAAATTATACTAGTACACCCAGATCATTTCTTTCTCCATATATTGAGCCCTTCTTTATTAGAGGAAAACATATCAGATGGTGTAGACTATATTTCAGAGGAAGGAACTTGCAAAACCACCTCTGACTCTTCCTTTTCCAAGAAACTCCCATGAAATCCATGGGGCCAACAAGCAACTTGGAGGCAAATATGCACTTATGGGATGTGTCTTGGTTCCTTGAGGAGATGACTCTGAAAGATCAACTTCATGCTCCTTCCATTTACAAACTGACCACTGGGTTTTGTGTCATAGTTACGATTATCACAATCGGTAATGGTTTAAAGCAGGGGTCCTCAAACTTTTTAAACGGGGCCAGGTCACAATCCCTCAAACTGTTGGAGGGCCAGATTATAATTTGAAAAAAAAAAGATGAATGAATTCCTATGCACACTGCACATCTTATTTGTAGTGCAAAAAACACTTAAAATTGTTTTTCATTTTGTTTATTGTATTGCTTTTAACAAATATAAACCTTAGTATTTCAATGGGAAGTGTGGACCTGCTTTTGCCTGATGTGATAGGGTGGTTGTTGTGTGCTTTCAAGTAATTTCAGACTTAGGTTGACCCTGAGCGAGGGCTGGGCAAATGACCTTGGAGAGCCGTATCTGGCCCCTGAGCCTTAGTTTAAGGACCCCTGGTTTAAAGGAAGGGAAAGTGGTAATAGATTGCAGCAGAAAGGAGATCACACTTTATTTCTTCAGTATAGCTCATATAATTGTCCAGACTTGACACAATTGGCTTCGTAAGCGAAAGAAGAGTAATGCACAGTAAAATTATTGGAAATTACAGATTCCCTGATGAAGAATTAACTGAGTTAATCTTACTTTCACTGCTGTCTGTATAATAATAATAATAATAATAATAATAATTTGTTAACCCGCCCTCTCTCTCCAGAGGGACTCAGGGCAGTATAAACATACAAAAGACAAATATTTGATGCCATATACAATCATAAAAACAGAAGCAAGTATACATAAAAACACGATAAAACGATAAAATACAGATCATAATACACAGCACTATACTAAGAGTAGTAGTTTTGAGTGCTTATTTTTGAGTTTGTAAAGAAATGAAGTAGAAGAGTAGAAGAAGGAAATGATCAATTACTGTTCGCAACGAATATATTATTGATACTTGTCAGCTTTACACTTTATTTTACTACAGGCGTGCACAACATATGGCCCCCAGGACAGATGCAACGTGCAAAGACCTTAACTGCAGCCCAAGGTGGGGCTGGACTTTCCTTTGTTGGTCGACCCTTTGCATGTCTGGTTGACTAGGAACTACCGACTGGCAAAGGAAAAGCCCAGGCCCTTCGCTAGCCTTAGCCAATTCCCATGGGCATCTTTTTTGGCAGGGAGAGAGGGAGGAGGGGTAGTTGATAGAAGTTTTTTTAAAAAAATATTTTAATATTTGCCCTTTACGAGGGCCAAGTTGTTCAGGTTTGTTCTACTCCCCTGAAGCTCTGTTTTGTCTTAGGTGGTTCTGTTCCACTTGCAAGAAACTCAGCTCTGCAACCTTCCATTATGCAAAGTGAAATCATAGCGAGCTCTGGTCCATTTGCAAGCAATGCAACTTTGCAGCCTTCCGTTATGCAAAGCGAAATCATAGCGAGCTCTGGTCCATTTGCAAGCAATGCAACTTTGCAGCCTTCTGTTATGCAAAGTGAAATCATAGCAAGCTCTGGTCCATTTGCAAGCAATGCAACTTTGCAGCCTTCCATTATACAAAGCGAAATCATACACAGCACTGGTCCATTTGCAAGCAATGCAACTTTGCAGCCTTCCATAATACAAAGCGAAATCATACACAGCACTGGTCCATTTGCAAGCAATGCAACTTTGCAGCCTTCCATTATACAAAGCGAAATCATACAGAGCTCTGGTCCATTTGCAAGCAATGCAACTTTGCAGCCTTCCATAATACAAAGTGAAATGGTAGTGAGTTCTGGTCCACTTGCAAACAGTACAACTCTGCAGCCTTCCACTATGCACAGCGGAATGGTAGAGAGCTCTGATCCACTTGCAAGCAGTACAACTCCGCAGCCTTCCATTATGCGCAGTGGAATGGTAGAAAGCTCTGGTCCACTTGCAAGCAACACAACTCTGCAATCTTCCAAAATGCGCAGTGGAATGGTAGAGAGCTCTGGTCCACTTGCAAGCAACACGACCCTGCAATCTTCCAAAATGCGCAGTGGAATGGTAGAGAGCTCTGGTCCACTTGCAAGCAACACAACCCTGCAATCTTCCAAAATGCGCAGTGGAATGGTAGAGAGCTCTGGTCCACTTGCAAGCAACACAACCCTGCAATCTTCCAAAATGCGCAGTGGAATGGTAGAGAGCTCGGATCCACTTGCAAGCAACATAAGTCTGCAACCTTCCTTTATGCGAAGCGGAATGATAGACAGTTCTGTTCCACTTGCAAGCAACACAACTCTACAGCCTTCCATGGTGCGAAATGGAAAGATAGAGAGCTCTGTTCCACTTGCAAGCAACACAGTTCTGCAGCCTTCCATGGTGCAAAGCGGAACAGCGGAACAACCTGCCATTACACGAAGCAAAATGATAGAGAGCTCTGATCCATTTGCAAACAACATTCAATTTCAGTCTTCCATTATGCGAAGCGGACCAGTAGAGAGTTCTGTTTACTCTGGTCCTAGTAGTGCTGGTGGTAGCCCTACAAAAACCTTGTATTCTAACTATGAACTGGACGTTGAAAGCCAGAGGAAACCCTCTAAATACTCAGAGAGAGATACCCTCTTGGAAGAATATTCTCAGCAAGTCAAAGATCTGCAGAAGAGGCTAAGTGAAGTGAGTTTTGGACTTAAGACAAAGTGTGTTGATTGTCATGTTAAGTGCAGAGAATAGATACTGTCATCAGGGTTATGTATTCTCTGCATGGAAGTAGTGAATGAACACTGACAAAAAAGCTTGTATTCTGTGCCAAGAAAAGGTGAAATCTATATCCTATATGAATGAAGAAAGATAAGGTAATTTTTTTTTGAAGTCTAGACATTACATAGAACCCATCCTCCTTTACTAAAAAGTGAGTTTTAGCTTTCATTTTTTTTAACCATGAGGACCAGATTAATAATAATAATAATAATAATAATAATAATAATAATAATAAATCTTTATTTCTATACCACCCTATCTCCCCAAGGGGACTCAGGGCAGTTTACACCAGAAAATTGGCAAACTTTTAATGCCGGCATAACATAGCAAACAAATTATATCGTAAACAATAAAATAAACAATATCAGGTGTACTTATAGAACAACTGAAAATTACAAACCTAGACATTTAAATATATAAATCAAACACTTAGAACATGTTAACTACTAGATCTAATAATAGCAAACAGTCAAAACATGAAAAGGAAAAAGGCATTTACTAGTCAACAGGGCTGAGGTGGTGTCCGAGTGGGGGGTTTTAATAAAATTATATTGCACAATTCCATAAGTTAAAAAGGACCTATATGAGTCTAGTTACCATCCCCCTTCCACACCCGCCTCCCCATAATATCCACTCCAATTCTTTATGCCCTCCCAGAGATTCCCAGATCCTCACAATTAAGGAGTCCTCTGAATACTGTTTAAGCACAGGAATGTAACCCAGGTCTTCATGGGGTGGGGAGTATAAACTGTGGTATGAGGTCCTTGGGGAGGCAGATGGGAGTGCACATTTTAAATTACCTTGCACGTTTTAAATTACCAGCTGAGATTTTCAGGATGCCAAATTCTGCTCTTTCCATGCACTTGCACAGACTGGGTCATGGATGTCTCTATATAGCAGGTTCAGTTTAATCAGTGGATTCCACCAAATGACCACTTTCCCCATCTTCGTTCATTAGCCACAACACAGTCCCATTTTTTCTTGCTTTTTGCAAATGACTGCTCTTATTATTTTTCATCTATTATGGTTTATAATTACTGTATATACTTGTGTATAAGTTGAACCCATCTTTGGAGTCAAAATTATGGATTTTGCCATGACTCGTATATACTTAACTTACTTACTTAGGCGATCCCTCGTAGCCCGATGATGATGGCCTTCCAAGTGTGGTGTCTTGATGATGGATATGTAGATGGTTGTGGAAACCTATTCTTGACCTGCATGTTCTTTCTCAGTGAGGACATCAGTTTTCAGGTGGAAGGTGGTCCTGGTCAGGGTTGGCTTGACATGTCTTCTTCTTGGCACGTTTCTCCCTTTTGCCCTCCATTCATGCCTCTTCAGATTCCACAGCACTGCTGGTCATAGCTGACTTCCAGCTAGAGTTGCTCAAGGGCCAGGGCTTCCCAGTTCTCAGTACCTATGCCACAGTTTTTAAGGTTGGCTTTCAGCCCATCTTTAAATCTCTTTTCCTGTCCTCCAACATTCCATGTCCCCTTCTTGAGTTGGGAGTAGAGTAACTTTTCTGGGATGTGGTGATCAGACATTTGGACAGTGTGACCAGTCCAGCAGAGTTGATGGCGTAGGAGCATTGCTTCAATGCTGGTGGTCTTTGCTTCTTCCAGCACGCTGATGTTTGTCCATCAGTCTTCCCAAGAGTTTGCAGGATTTTTCGGAGGCAACACTGATGGAATCGTTGCAGGAGTTGTGTGTGATGTCTGTAGACAGTCCATGTTTGCAGGCATATAGCAGGGTTGGGAGGACAATAGCTTTATAAACAAGCACCTTGGTATCCCTATGGATGTCCTGGTCCTCAAACACTCTGTGCTTCATTCGGAAAAAGCTGCACTCGCAGAGCTCAGGCGGTGTTGTATTTCAGTGTCAATGTTGACTTTGGTGGAGAGGTGGCTGCCAAGGTAGCGAGAATGGTTAACATTTTCTGTATTTCTGGCATTGCAGAGGGATTGGCTGGTAACTGCTAAAGAGCACTTTGATTTTCATGATGTTTAATGAGAGGTAAAGCTTCTCGTATGCTTCTGCAAAGACGTTTAGAGTGGTTTGTAGGTCTTCAAAGGTCTGCAGAGAGGAGAAAGCACTAGTTTTATTTATTTATTTACGATATTTCTATCCCGCCTTTCTCGAACCCAAAGATGACTCAAGGCGGCTGTTCTGTACTGCCTCAAGTGGCCAGCCATCCTAGGCTGCTGCAGCCACCATTTCCCAAGCATTGAAAAGAGCCAGGAGTGGTACCACAGAGAAGAGAGTAGATGAGATCAGTTCTTTTAGGCTTTCCTAGGATGAACTAAACTATCACCTTTTTGCCACTCTACTCAATGATGACTCTGTTTGTGATATGTGTTAAGTTACAGTACTTAAACTGCTCCATGGATAAGTCAACCTAGTGGCTTGGGGGTCATTTTTTTGACTAAAATTTCCAGACTTTTACACGAATATGTACAGTATTCAGCAATATTTAGTATGAATAATGTGAAATCATATGTTTTATAGAATCATAGAGTTGGAAGAGAACACCAGGACCATCTAGTCCAATCTTCTGTCATTCAGGAACACAAAATCAAAGCACCCTTGACAGATGGCCATCCAGCCTCTACTTAGAAACCTCCAGAGAAGGAGACTCCACTACACTTGGGCAGCATACTCCACTGTCAAACAGCTCTTATTAGGAAGTTCTTCCTACTGTTTAGGTGGAATCTTTTTTCCTAAAATGTGAAATCATTGGGTTGTTGTAGGTTTTTCCGGGCTATATGGCCATGTTCTAGAGGCATTGTCTCCTGACGTTTCACCTGCATCTATGGCAAGCATCCTGAGAATACTTGCCATAGATGCAGGCGAAACGTCAGGAGACAATGCCTCTAGAACATGGCCATATAGCCCGGAAAAACCTACAACAACACAGTGATTCTGGCCATGAAAGCCTTCAACAATACTGTGAAACCATTGTTCCATGTCCTAGTCTCCAGAGCAGCAGAAAACAAGCTTGCTCTTCTTCAATGTGACATCCTTTCAAATATGTAAATTTGGCTATTACATCCCCTCTCAGCCTTTTTTTTCCTCGAGATCCCTCCGCCGTTTCCTATTCAGAAGACTCACTCTAATGTTGCTAGTATAGGAAAAGGTCAGAGGAGTTAAGACTAATATCAGTATTCCAACTTAGAGTCAGCATTTAGTGCATGAATTAACATTTAAATAAAATTTAAATAAGAACTTTATGGGGGAACGTGACAGATTAATTGCAGTGAACATCACTCATCTAGTTTGGACTCCCATGATTCCATAGCACGGAGACATTGAAGTCAAAAGTGTGAAACTGCAGTATTTCTACAGTGCAGATGCACCTTGTAGTTCTCAGAATTTCTAAGCCATCCTGAACCCTTTTGAGGCTATGTATATTCAACATTTAAAACTATCTAAACTAGCAAGTTATCAAGTTAGCTGGCAGCTGTTGCCTTTAAAACTATAGTTGCCAAGCCCTGCAAGCTTCTACTCTCAGTCTCCCTCCTTTTTCACTCTCCTATTTCTTCTCAGCCATGTTCAGCCCAGAATTTATAAAAGCCTTACAATTAATGGTTTTCTCCCACAGACCACGGAACAACATGAGCAACAGAAATTGGGTTTAAGGCAATCAATACTGGAGTTGCAGGCAAGCCTTCAGCAAGTGGCCAGAGAGAAAGAGATGATTGCTGATATCAGGTAAGCATATTAATATAAATTAACATCGACGACTTGGACTGGCTGTGGATTATGACCTGGATTATGACCTGATTTTAAATTGTTTTTAATGTGATGTTTTAAATGGTTGGTTTTAATGTATTTGTTTATTTATTGGTGATACGTGTACATGCGACATCAAATCGTTGCCTTTTTCAGGCTGCCCTGAGCCCTCTTTGAGGTTGAGAAGGGCTGGATATAACTGCGGTAAATCTATATAAATAAAAATGTAATGTTCGTTGGTGGGATTAACAGAATTCAAAAACCACTGGACAAATTGACACCAAATTTGGACACAAGACACCTAACAACCCAATGTGTGTCCTTCACTCAAAAAATGATTTTGTCATTTGGGAGTTGTAGTTGTTGGGATTTATAGTTCACCTACAATCAATGAGCATTCTGAACAACGATGGAATTGAACCAGACTTGGCCCCCATAACCAATGGAAAATATTGGAAGGATTTGGTGGACAGTGTCCTTTGGTTTTGGAGTTTTAGTTCACCTACATCCAGAGAGCACTGTGGACTCAAACAATGATGGATCTGGACTAAACCCTACACAAATACTCAATATGCCCAAATGTGAACACTGGTGGAGTTTGGGGAAAATAGAATCTTGACATTTGGGAGTTGTAGTTGCTGGGATTTATAGGTCACCTACAATCACAGAGCATTCTGAACCCCACCAACGATAGAATTGACCCAAACACCCCACACAGAACAGCCATGTGGGCCACAGCAGCACATGGCAGGAGACAGGTAGTAATAAATACATTCACAACATGAGCCAGAAATATAGTTGGTATTTGTTCTAACTGTAGCATCACGATTGAGCTTTAGAATGATTAATGTGGAGAGGATGACTCTTTCAATGTCTAAAGCGCTGTCACATAGAAGTGAATGCAGACTAGTTTTAGAGGAGAGTACACTTCAGTTGACTATTAGAAGGACTGGTTTGTCAGTGGAATGAATTGCTTAGAGCAGTGTTTCTCAAACTGCTCCTCCAAGTGTTTTGAGCTTCAACTCCCAGAAATCCTAGCCAGTTTACCAGAATTGTGCAAGCTGAAGTCCAAAACATTTGGAGGAGCACAGTTTGAGAAACTCTGGCCTGGAGAGGTGATGTATTTCCCTTTGGCTGTCTTGGAAAAGAGAGTGGATGTCATGGCTAGCGGAGGACCCTTCTCAGTATTGCAGCAACCTTGGGAGGAGTTAATCCAGCCCTCTAGGTGTTTTGGACTTCAACTCTCACAATTCCTATCAGCCAGTAGTAAGTTGAAGTCCAAAACACCTGAAGGACCGAAGTTTGCCCATGTCTGGGTTAATCTAACCTCATCAAGGAAAGAATCATAGGCTGCTGGGGTTATCTTGCTGAAATGATCACCAGCTGAGATTTCATAGTAAAGGGGGTTTGGAAAAAAATAGCTCTTTGGCAGAAGATAACACCATTCCTTTGGACTCTTGTCATGGATCTTAGCTGCTGCCCCCAGGGTTAGAAGTCTGGACCCTGATCTTGTTCCTGTAATCCTGATCTGGACCCTGTTGAATACTGAATCTTTGACTCTGAATTCTGGACTGACTTGCCTGAGTTTGATTTGTGGAGTTGGATGGGGACTTGGACTTCAGTTTGCATCCCTTACTGTCCGGCTTGACTTTGGAACTCTACCTTTGGTTTGTACCCTTGGGTTCTTGGTCATTTTTTGATACGTGAACGCCTGGCATCTGATTATTGGACTGTAACCTTGGGTATTGTTTATTATTGCTTGTGACCTGGCTCGGCTTATCTGGGTTAATCTAATTAATTGGACACTTGGTAGTGACTTGTATTCATCATTACTCCAGCTGTGTGATCCAATTCAGTTATTTTGGCCAGACCTTGGAAGACTCAAGACTTTAGTTATTTATAAATATGGTCTTGGCTTACCTTGCTTTTGTTTAAATAAATCTCAGCTCTGATACTGGGAGAGCCTCAGGACACGACAGTGGACAACTACCTGGTGGGATGCTTTAGCTGGAGATCCTACACCAAGAAGGGAGTTAGATTCTTTCAACTCAACGATTCTATTTGCTGTGTACTCTTCTTCTGAGGAGGACGTAGAACAGGAGGCTGGAGATGTAGGAGTTGGGGATTTGGGGCCAAGTGTTGAGGAGGAAGAAGAGGGAGAGGAAAACATACTGCCGTTTCCTACGTTTCAGGAATGCCGAAGGGCGAAGGAAGAAAAGAAGAAAGTCAGCTAGCATTACTGCAAGGACGCTGAGCAATCAGACCTTGGCCTAGCTGAGGGCTATAAATAAGCAGTAAAGCTTATTTTGTCAATGCTGGCAGCAATTGATCTACTTAGTGCTTCTCTGCTCCAGTATCCTTGCTTGCAGCTCCAGCATCAACAAAGTGCCTCACAAAGATGTTTTGCCAAAGACTCTTGTTTCATGTCTGATGTAAGACTTTTTGGAATTTTCCTGCTATTCCTTTCCTGCTCTTTGTTACATTATTATCATTTTGCTGAAGTAAAGGTTTCTTAGTTGCTTTAACCCATGTTGTAAGGCTATTCCTGGGACAAAACAGGGCACTATTGTTGGTTGAAGGCTGCTAATTTCGATCAACAAAGGATAGCAAGTTATTGCTGTGCACCTTCAAGTAGTTTCTGACTTATGGTAACCCTAAGATGAGCCTATCTTTGGGGGCTTTGGGGGAAGATTTCTTCAAGAGGGACTGCCTTTGCCTTCTCAGGCTGATAGTGTGTGACTTGCCCAAGGTCACTTGCCCTGTGGCTGAATAGGGATTCAAACACTGGTCTTGGGATTCGTAATACAACACTTAAACCACTGTGCCATACTGGCTGTCAATGTATTATATCAAGCTTTAAAAAGTATTTTGTACTGCAACTTCCTGAAACTTCCAATCAACTGCCTAGAAAATTCTGGGGGGTGTAGTCCAAAAAGGGGATTTTCCAAGCTCTTGTAAACACATGAATAAAGCTAAAACATAGCCAGCTACCCAAGGCCATTACATTTATTAATAAGTGTTTTTTTTTTTCTGGTAAATAGACGGAAGGAGTCTCAGACCCAAGAGGATCTCAGCTGTCAGATGAAGGCTACAATTAATGAACTGGAAACTGCCAGTCAGCTTCAGGAAGAAATGCTGAAGGAATCCAGTAGTCAGACAGAGCACCTGAGGATGATGGTCCAGGGCCATGAAAATGTGTTCCGGGAACTCCGGCAAATCCTAATAAAGTATGAAGAGGACATGGGTAAGAAGGTGTACGAACATGAATCCGTTGCCAATCTCCACATCTGCAACTTGCCCACTGCTTTTGGCAAAGTGCTGCGAGATCTGGAAGCTGAGATGCTGCGCCTCCAAGGAAGGCTTGCCTCAGTAAGTGCCCTTCCATTCAAGTTGCCTAGAGTCTAGACCAGGGATCCTCAAACTAAGGCCAGGGGCCAGGTGCAGCCCTCCAAGGTCATTTACCCGGCCCTCGCTCAGGGTCAACCTAATTCTGAAATGACTTGAAAGTGCACAATAACAACAACAATCCTATCACATCAGCCAAAAATAGACCCACACTTCCCATTGAAATACTAATAAGTTTATATTTGTTAAAATTGTTCTTTGTTTTAATTATTGTATTGTTTTTAAGTGTCTTTTGCACTACAAACAAGATACGTGCAGTGTGCATAGGAATTCATTTATGGTTTTTTTCAAATTATAATCCAGCCCTCCAACAGTTTGAGGGACTGACCTGGCCCTCTGTTTAAAAAGTTTGAGGACTTGCTGGTCTAGAGATTGCATAGAACTGTGTATTTGTAGTATTATGTGTAGGAGAGAAACATAAAAATTGGAATAGGACATGACTTAATCAAAATCACGTTGATAATGTGGTATGAGAACAATTATTAATAATGACGACAATCCGCTTTCCTTTCTCAAAGGACAATACTGGTCAGTTGAGTACCTGTCCAAACGTATCTCCTGCTATGAACCATCACAAACTTAAGATCATCAGGAGAGGCCCTGCTCTCGATCCCATCACTCTCGCAAACGCGGTTGGTGGGAATGAGAGACAGGGCCTTCTCAGCAGTGGCCCCCCGTCTGTGGAACTCTCCCTAAAGATATCAGGTTGGCCACCTCCCTCCTGTCCTTTAGAAGACAACTGAAAACTTGGCTCTGGGGCCAGGCATTCGATTAGAAGCCAGCGGCAATAGGAAAAGGAAATTGGGATTTTACGACATGGATTCTCCTGGCTCGGCTTGGTTTTACTAGCACGTTAATCAATTAATTTATTGTTAAATTTTACTATGATGTTGTACAATGTTCTAAAATGATTTTATTGTGAATTGTAATTTTTATGGTATTTATGCTGTTAGCATCCTCTGATGCTCATGTCAGGCCATGCTGAGTCCCCCTTGGGAGAAGGGCAGGATATAAATATATTAAATTAATAAATAAATAAAATACTGGATACTCCATCCTGTTGAGATAGGGGTAAGCAACTACAGTAGTGGCTAACTGCCATTGTTTTGGATGGCTAGTCACAGTCTTAATGCACTTTGGTCTTTTAAAGTGCATGGATTTAAGTGTCTACAAGGCTGTACTGAGCTCTCCTCCTACATGGGTTTGAGGTGAGACCATGTCTGCAGACAGTAAAGCTTTGTGTTAAATCTGGGATACTTTTGATTTCTAAAAAGCTAGATATTGCCATGGGAGCAGTCTGCCAGCAAAAGACAGATCCAGGATCCAACTTCGGAAATGATCTCAAAGCTCATCTAATCTAATAACTTGGAATGTAGGCACTCTATTACCACACTATACACAGTAAGGTAAAAGCAATGTTGCCACTGCATATGCATGCACACAGTCATACCACTTTTTTCTCTCTGAAAACACCCAAAAACTTTGTATGAGGTGATAGGATGAGTGTGCAAACTATAGGCAGTATGTTTTGTGCCTTTTTAAAGCTCTAGTTGTCTTACCACCAACCTCTCACTGTTTTGACAGTTCACTTGGAATGGGAAGGGGCAGATGGTGGTAAAGGGAAATATATGGTGGTGGACAGTAAGGTTGTGTCGGGAAACAAGAAGAACAGTTCCAGGTTTCTGCATCGCTGTCTGGTTCCAGCAGCTATCTCAAATTCTACATGATTCCAGTAAAAGGAAACAAAGACAGAAAGATAGTCAAGCCCTACTGCCATCTAAGATGCAAGTTCAATTAAAAAGACACATCTGCTGACATTGCACTACTCTATTTCCTCAAATAGTGTAGTGGCTACTCCAGATAGAACCCAACTGCCAAACATCACTCAGGGGACCTTTTCATCAACCGCCCTATGGCTGGACTAATCTGCTGGAAGAGCTTTGACAGTTAAATTAGCTGTCAGAATTTAAGAGACAATTAAAGACGTGGGTTGTTGTAGGTTTTTTGGGCTGGATGGCCATGTTCTAGAAGCATAGGTTTTTCAAGCCATACAGCTCAAAAAACCTAAACAACCCAGTGATTCCGACCATGAAAACCTTCAACAATAAATTAAAAACCTATCTTTTCCAGTAGGCTTTCCCAGTCAGTTTTAACTTGAGAATTTCAATCCGCATTTTTACTATGTGTATCTTGTTATATATGTTTTCATAGTCTTGTATCTATTTTTCTGTTTTAACCATGTTGTATCCTGCCTCGAGCTGCAAGGAGAGGCAGTTAATGCAATAACAACAGCAATAATTCCCAACCAGGAAATGAAGAGAAAAGGCTTTCCTGGCCTAAAACTGTGTGATCACATTATTTTAGAGTGCCCCTGTATAAGGTGTAGGGTTGCTTTTTTGTATAATACTAGCTGTACCCGCCACGCATTGCTGTGGCAAACCTTCCCTCCCTCTTTCTCTCTCCTTCCTGTTGGGGTTCAGCCTGAGTTTGAACTTGAACCTGATTCTCTGTTTGTTCCTCCTGATGCTAATGAAAGTATATTTACTGATGCTAGTGGAAATGTACCTTTTGATGCCAATGCTCCTGAAATTAGTGAGGAAGAATCTGCTGTAGGTTTGGAAAATGCCAATGTTCCTGAAATTAGTGAGGAAGGAACTTCTGTAGATTTGGAAAATGAAAGTACCAGTGTTAATGAGAATGTTGCAGAGGGAGACCTTGAACTTTCCCTCCCTTCTGCACCTGTTAACTGTAATGACAACAGAAGGAGCCAAATTTGGGAAGACAGAAATAAAACACTCAGTTTGCGTCGATCCTCCCGAATTCAAGAATTAAAAACATTGTCTTCAAAACAGAAGGGCGGTTCACGGAACCGATTCTTGAGTTTTAATTGCAATACGCCAGGCTGATTCCCTCAGTTCAGGCATCGTTTCAGAATTGATGAAGACCTTGGCAGTTCTCCCGGTTCCCTGGCCATAGTATGGAAAGATTTCTAGGATATCAAGTACGGTTAGTGGATTGCTAACAGATTCAAGTATTTCTCAGAGAGGCTTTTGGTTTTGCTTTGTCCATTTAAATTCATGTTTGCTGATTTTGCTGTGGCTTTTGACTTGCATTTTTCTTTATTTTGTAACCATTTTTCTTCAATAAAAAAGGATTGTTTTTCACAGCCAAGTGTGGTGGATAGTTATCTTAGGGCCTCGTTCCTCTGCTCTGGATTGCAACACTTCCTTCCCTCCCTCTTTCCTTCTTTCCCTCTTTTTCTTTCTCTTCTTCTTTCTTCCTTCTCTACCTGTTCCTTTTCTCGCTTCCTTTGCTGTTTGGTTCCTCCTTCCTCCTTTGTTCCTTCTTCCTTCCTTCCTTCTTTCACTTTTTTTTCCTTCTCTTTCCTTCCTTCTCTACCTTTCTTTCTTTCCTTCTCTCTTCTTCCCCTCCTCTCCCCTTCCTTCCTTCTCTACCCTCTTTCTTTCCTCTTCTCTCCCTCCTTCTTCTCTATCTTTTTTCTTTCCTTCTTTCTCTCCTTCCCTCCTTCTTTCCCTCTTTCTCTCCCTCCCGTTTCGTGTCGTTTTAGTTGCCCTCGGCGGTCCCCCACAGCTCCCGAGCGTGAGTGCTTACATCGGTCTGGTGGGCTTTCTCAGGCTGGGCTCGTGTAGAGGGAGGCAGGCAGACGGCAGTGCGCATGCGGAGGGAGATTTGGGCGCGGGGGAAGCTGGGAAATGGAGTCCTTCCTCATCGTATTCCTCCCGAGGCCTCTGCGCATGCTCCGTGAGATTTGGGCGCGGGGGAAGCTGGGAAATGGAGTCCTTCCTCATCGTTTTCCTCCCGAGGCCTCTGCGCATGCTCCGTGTTTTTCGGGTATTGTGCGTTTGTGTTGTTGCATATTGGTGTTTTGAGGGTTGTTGGTCATACCTTGGGGGAAGAGGTATTAGCAGGGCAAATGTGGTGAGATTTCGTCCGGTGGTTTAGCCGTTTTTGACCGCCTAATTACAACCTTAAGGTTCTTATATATATAGATTGAATTGTAACAAAAAATTAAGGCGGTGTTAGGATCTATGTTGGGGTCCCGGGAATCACATATGTTCTATAGGATACACTCTGCCTTATGTGTTTTTAACATGTAAGAAGAATTGTTCTTTGTTATAATTTGTGACAATTTATTAACAGCTTGAAGAACAACAAGAACTACTGAAGAAAGAATCCCAGTGCAAAATTGAAATGGTGCTTCAGGACCATCATGAGAGGTATGTCATTCTCTATTTTCATTTTTTAATGTATTTTATATTAATGTGAGATTAGTGTAATGTGAATGTTTAAATGTAATTTTGTACAATGACTGTGAATGTAACCTGATTGCATTAGCAAAGAGTGTATTGACATTGAAAGGGTTAATCAGTCAAGCCTCTAGTAAACTGTGAAGTTGTGACCCTGAGTGTGCCTGGAACATGTAGGGAAAATCCAGAGATAAGATTTCATTCGTCCTTTGGTGCTTTTGTCTTGTTTCTGTTCTTTTTGGTTGGGCGTCAGTGCGAGTGTGTGCTGTATATTTGCTCTACTCAGTAAAGCTATACGTTTGCTTTTCCTGAAGTCTCAAAGTGTCCATTCTTCTACGTTTGAAAGGTTCTGTCGCACTCTGACATTTTAATGGTTTAGAACAGGCATAGGCAAACTTCAACCCTGCAGGTGTTTTGGATTTCAACTCCCACAATTCCTGGCCTCGGGCCCCTTCCTTTTCCCGCTTATGCGGCTGAGGGGGGAAAGGAAGGGGCCTGAGGCCAGGAATTGTGGGAGTTGAAATCCAAAACACCTTCAAGGTTGAAGTTTGCCCATGCCTGGTTTAGAATGTAGACTTACCTACAAAAAACAGTCTACATTCTAAAGACAGCCAACAAAAAAACAACAAAATGGAAGGTTCTTAGCCTGAGATGTTCAAAGCGAGATGAAATAATCCACAATAGATACATAAACTATTGGTATTAAGAAAGCTATTGAAAGCTGTGCCGTTTTCATAGTAGGTTGTGGAGTTTTCAGCAGGAGCTGTGTAGCTTGTGGAAATTGGTGCATTTTTCTAGGGAAGTCGTACAGTTTTCTTAGATAAGCTATAGTTTTCCATCATTGTGGGGGTGAATTCCCAAATGTCTCTGAGAGAAGGGATTAAAAATTGCGTCATTTTTCTTGAGATCTGTTTGAACTTGGAGAAATCAAGATTTACCGTCTGCAAACGTGGGATGGAGGTGATGATTTCCTCTGGAACTTTTTTCTTCAACCGTGGGACTTTGCAGCAGCCATTGAGATTTCACTATGATAAGGAGATCATTTTCAGGACAGCATTGAGTTCCCTACAAACTAGTGTTTCCAAGCATTAAGAATCAAGCCTCCTCCCATCTATATATCCCCTTCTATGATTCTGTTTATTGGTCGCCCCATTGTGCAACTATATGTTCATCACTTGCTTCTGTACAAACAAATTTGATGTAATGAATATCGCCTCTCTCTTTGTTTGTTAATCACAGTATTGAAAGGCTGATCAGTGAGCATGAACAGGAATTGGAAGCGCTGAGTGAGAATGCCAATGCTTCCCGCAGCCATGCAAGCAGTATCCAAAGCCAGCTGGAAATTGTGCAGTATGTCTCTAAGTCATGCTAATCTGCAAGTATATCACTGCAAGCTTCTTAGAGCTGTTACCCACAACTTGAATGTATACACTTTGATTGAGTATATCAGTAAGGGATGTAATTGTGCAGAGGGTTAATTAACTTTCTGAAGTTAGGACTCTCGGATAGGAAAAAATCCCTGCTTGCCTTCCCAGGATAAACCATTGCATATTCACAGTAAACTATGTGTGGCAGAAGCCCAAGCTTTTAGTCTTGCACGTTACCAAATACATACTATGGATTTCTTCACAGCCCTATGTGGAGTTGGCAACTCAAAATTCAGCCCCTCCCCCAACCCAAATAATAGTAAGTTCTTGATGTTTGAAAGTATTTTTCCAGCTTTGTCATCAGCCACTGGCTGCATTTACACTGTGCAGATGCTGAAAAGTAACATGGTGCCCCATCACTCCAGTGTGGCTCTTCCTTAAAGCTTATTTATTTATCATGTCAGGAGGAACCAGACAGTTGTATTACATTTTTAACAAAACAGACAAAACACAAAGTTTGCAAAGTTGGTAGTTGATTAAATGTCCTTTGACCAGTATCTGGCCACTTGGTGTTGCCGCAAGAAGGTCCTCCATTGTGCATGTGGCAGGGCTCAGGTTGCATTGCAGCAGGTGGTCAGTGGTTTGCTCTTCTCCACACTCGGATGTCGTGGATTCCACTTTCTGGCCCCATTTCTTAAGGTTGGTTCTGCATCTTGTGGAACAGCTAAAGTAACCCAAAACGTGCATGAAAAAATACAGCATTTGGCATGAAGTTAAGGTAGATTTCCTGCTTCTGTAACAAACCTAGATTGTTGCAGTGCACAAATACTACTATATTTAAAACTTTCGTTTTTAAGGCTGTTATATAACTCCATCATTCAGTTCCAGACTGTCTTTCACCTTTGAAATATTTTGAAGCTCATCACTATTTTTTCTGCCTTGGTATACTTTCCTAAATGTTTCAGTTGCTCATGTTTATTCTTATTTATTAAGTTTATTTATATCCCGCTTTTTCCTCTCCATATAGAGACTCAAATGTTTGCATCCTATTTATTATCAATCAGCCAGTCTGACTTAATATGTTATGCAGTGATTTGATTTATTGCAGATAACAGTAAATCTATTTTATTCATTCCATTTCGTTGATTTTTTTCATTCATTCAAATTTTATTGATTTAATTTCTTGCTTAAATATAGGAAGAGCCCTGGTTTTCTTCTGAGAGATTATACAGTGAGGCCTATTAACAGGACAAGAAACTCATTGCCTTTTTCCTGTTGCCTCAGTTGGCATCTGGACATCACAGACCTGCCTTTCAAATTTTCTTTCTAGATGAACAAAACTCTGGTGTCATTGTAAATGTAACCTTAACCATTTATTTGCAGGCATGTATAGAGCTTCTCCCCAGTGTGAGTCCTGTGATGTGAACATAGACTTGCACTGTTCGTGAAATTCTTTTCAGACTTCGAACATTTACAGGGTTTCTCCCCAGTGTGAATCCTTTGATGTGAGCATAGTCTTCCACTCTGAGTAAAGCTCTGTCCACACTACAGCCAATTCTGGGCTTTCTTCCCAGTGTGAGATTCTGATGTGAACATGAGCGAAGCTGTGTCCACACTCAGTGCATTTTTAGGGTTTCTCCCCAGTGTGAGTTCTTTGATGTTTCAGTTGATGTTTCAGTTTCAGTGGAAACTTTCAATGAAGCTCTGTCCAAATTCCTGGCATTTTTAGTGTTTCTCCCCAGTGTGAATCCTTTGGAGTGTCCTTTCCGAGTGAAGCTCTGGCCACACTCCAGACATTTATAGGGTTTCTCGTGTGTGGTCTTTGATGTAAACTTAAGAGTTTCACTCTGAGCGAAGCTCTGACCACACTCCAGGCATTTATAGCGTTTCTCTCTAGAGTGAGTCCTTTTATGTAATCCCTACATCTTATGGTAGCAGCTTCCGTAACAATATATTGTTTAAACTACTTTATGTTTCCCTTCTTAGAGAACAAGCAAGAAACCAGAATTCATTGTACATGCGTCAGGTCAACCAGCTGGAAAGCACTGTGTCTCAGTTACGTTCGGAGCTGCGAGAAACAAGGAGAATGTCTCAGGACAAGGTGAATGCAAAGGTTTTGTCAACACAAACTGTACTCCATTATGTATGTCTTGAAGTCCATGCTGAGCATCAGACTTCTGATAGATACTCCAGAATGAAATTTGGAGTTTGCATGCACCCTGTTTCTTATACTTGCTCTGTGTTCCTACCACATTGTTTCCAGATAAGCCCCCACATTGGCAGTCTTTAGGAGGCCCTGCTCTCGCTCCCACCTCCCTCGCAGGCGCGATTGGTGGGGACGAGGGAGAGGGCCTTCTCCATGGTTGCCCCTTGACTCTGGAACTCACTCCCCAAGGATATCAGACAAGCCCCCACATTGGCAATCTTTAGGAGGAGCCTGAAAACGTGGCTGTTCCAGTGTGCCTTCCCTGAATAAAGGAAACAATCCCCTGCAAATACTCTGAGAAGCACTTTAATTACCTGTTGGGTTGCTCTTTACTTTTGATTTAAAACCTTCCAAATAGATACATCCTTTGTTCATGTCCAGCATTTATTTTTAAAGTTTTAACTATTACATTTGGCCCAGCCATAGGTTTAAATTTTTGTGTGTTATTGTCTACTTGTGAGTTATATTAATTGTATTGTTTATTTTGTTTATTGCTTGTTATTTTATTGTTGCTTGTTTTGATGTGTTGTTGGGCTTGGTCTCATGTAAGCCACTCCGAGTCCCTTGGGGAGATGGTGGCGGGGTATAAATAAAGTTCTATTATTATTATTTATTATTTTATTATTATAAGGTTGCCAGAAACGTGCGTTCCCTAACTAACATTGTTCAGCTGTTGTCTGAAATGTGCTAAGGCCAGCTCTGTTTACTTACTGTTTCCTCTATTCCCCAAAGCAGTCGAGAAAAATTATACTTTTGATCTTACCTTTTACAGACATTTGCTCATATTTAGCTATTTGACTTCTAATCCACAAAAGCAGCTTATTGGGTGTTTATATTGGCAAACCTGCCAACAATTTGCTCGATTTCAGTGAAAGTTTTTTTTTATGACATTAATAATATTCCCTCTTAAAGATAATTCCAAAAAGTCAAAGAAGAAGATTGCTGACTAATATTTCACAGTGTTTGAAAGGAATGCATTCAGCTCTTTGTTGAGGTCTTAACTTGCTTAGATGGTGGACACAAAGCAAAAGGTGCTGCTCCTTGTGTCTTGAGATTAGGAATTGCTCATGGAGTTGGTGCCCACTTTTATCCCCACCTTTTATCCCCATCTTCTTTCTGACTGGACTTTCTTTAGCAGCATTAGCATTTGGAGACTAATAAAGGAGAGCTGAAGGGGGGAAAAAACGTTGCAACAGCATGTGTGCTGTACAATGAGTAAAGTCTTGAACTGGGAAAGTATTACCATGTTCCTGATCTTGCCACATTAATGCTATGCTAGTCTTCTGAACAGGAAAGCTGCTGTAAGACTCTTTGTGACTGTGGGTGTACTTTTGTGTTAATATCATAGATAGAAGAACTTGAGAAAGAGCTGCATCTGGTTAACTCAGAAATAGCCGAGGCTCAGAGTGAAAGGGATCAGTATAGCCTGGAAACTGGAAACTTGGATGATCAGGTTCAGCTGTTGAGGGTAAGAATGTAAGACAACATTATTATTATTGTTATTAGTAATAGAAGCAATATAAGTTGAGCATCCCTTATCTGGAATTCTGAAATCTTCCAAAATTTTGAGGCTAAGATAGTGACTTTTTTGCTTTCTGATAGTTCAGTGTATTATGCATAAAATCATTAAAAATTGTGTGCATAAAATTACTTCTAAGCTATATGCATGAGATGTATATAAAATGTATATGAATTTCATGTTTAGACTTGAGTCCCATTGGCAAGTTTAATTCTTATGTTGGTGAATGCAAATATAGGTATTCTTAAAGGCAAAAAAAATTCCAAAATAATTCTGGTCCCAAGTATTTCAAATAAGAGATACTTGAACTTTCGTAGTAGTATTTCCTTAATATCTTGAATGAGACTATCATATTAAATCACTTTAAAATCATAGTAATGATCCAGCTAAATGGATCAGATTCCACACATTTGTGAAGACCTAGGGAACACAGACTTCCACAATCTTAAGTTATTTAATCTTCATGATATATAAATCCTCCAATATTTAATGATTTGTAATTCAAGATTTTGTTGAGGATGCTCAGAACTCATGGTTTTGGGAGCAGGCTGTGTCCAGGAAGGGGAGGAAGATTTAACTCTATTATTTTTCATAGCCTTTTGTAGAAGACCATACAAATGGGGTGGGGTAAATTTCATTGGGAGGGAAGGGTGCAGCAAGTTAAACCACTGAGCTGCTGAACTTGCTGACTGAAGGGTCAGCGGTTCAAATCCAGGAAGTGGGTGAGCTCCCTTTGTTAGCCCCAGCTTCTACCAACCTAGCAGTTCGAAAACATGCAAATGTGAGTAGATTAATAGGTACTACTTCTGCGGGAAGGTAACGGCACTCCATTCAGTCATGCTGGCCACATGAATTTGGAGGCGTCTACAGACAACGCCGCCTCTTCAGCTTAGAAATTGAGAGGAGCACCACAATTGGACACGACTAGACTTAATGTCCAGAGGAAACCTTTACCTTTACTAAATTTCTTTGGAGTAGGCCATGTTTACCTCACATGGTGGGGGAGAAGGAAGGACTAATTCCCTTTCATTGGCCATATGTAGCTTAGAAAGAATCAGAAAATAAACATGATAGAACTCATACCCCTGACAGTACCAATTAGAATTAATGCATTACCTTGTAGAGTGTTGTCCCCAAGCTCTGTTCCATTGTTTTTTGCTCAGTGATGTTTGCTTCTAGGCAGCATAAGAATGTTTGTATCTTGGCAAGATATTTTGGTTAATGGAAGATATAAACGATATTTAATTTGAACTACGGACTGTTATTTAAATTCTTCAAGCATATGGCTTACTTTAAATGCTCTTGCTGGAGCAGCAGGTTAACCGCTGAGCTGCTGAACTTGCTGACCAAAAGGCTAGTGGTTCAAATCCAGGGAGTGGGATGAGCTTTGGCAGTTAGGCTCAGCTTCTGCCAACCTAGCAGTTCCAAAACATGCAAATGTGAGTAGATCAATAGGTACCTCTCCTGCGGAAAGGCAACAGCACTCCCTATAGTCATGCTGGCCACATGATCTTGGAGGTGTCTATGGACAACCCCAGTTCTTCGACTTAGAAATTGAGTTGAGTACCACCCCCCAGAGTCAGACATGACTAGACGTAATGTTAGGAGAAACCTTTACCCTTATGGCTTACTTTGACTCTGCACTGTAGTATAATTTAATAATGATAAATGTAAAGCTTTCTTGCTTTTTTAAAAAAAACCAAAGCAAATTGTAATGCTTTGAAGATGCCCTGTTTGCATTGTAGTCAGAATTGCACAAGAAGGATATGGAGCTCAATCTAGAAAAAGAGCAGAATAAACGGCTCTGGGATCGAGACACAGGAAGCAGTATCACCATTGACCATTTGCGGAGGGAGCTGGACAACAAGAACATGGAATTGCAGCGCATGGATGCCTCAATGAAGTCCATGAAGGCGGAGAGCCAGGAACAAATGGATCGACAGGTCAGGAGGGATGGCCAAAGTGGAGAGCTAGCTCAAGGGGAAATGCCCACTCTGTGTTATGGTCCTAAACTCCTGATGCATGAGGATGCTTTTTTATTTTAATTACTAGCTGTCACCTGCCATGCTTTGCTGTGGCCCATTCTGTGTATATGTGTTTTGTGTGTGTGTATATATATGTGTATATGTATATCTATGTGTGTCTTTGCATATATACGTGTGTGTGTGTGTGTGTGTGGTTTTGCACATGTGTTGTAATGTAGTTTTTGTTTTTAAGTCTCTTCTGGTGTGTTTTTCAGTGTTGTTATGAGTGATGGTCACTTGTTGGCCTGAGAGGTGTATTGTGTCCAAATTTGGTGTCAATTTGCTCAGTGGTTTTTGAGTTATGTTAATCCCACAAATGAACATTACATTTTAATTTATATAGATAACTAACTTGAGGCCATGTCATACTTAGGCCATCAAAGAACTTACTTTTGATAGTAACAGCAGAAAATTACAATTATGTGACCTCAAAGCAGCAGCTTTACAGTGATATTGTTACATTAGAGCAGGCATGGGCAAACTTTGTTCCTCCAGGTGTTTTGAACTTCAACTCCCACATTCCTAACAACTGGTAGGCTGTAAGGAATTGTGGGAGTTGAAGTCCAAAGCATCTGGAGGGATGAAGTTTGCCCATGCCTGGTCTATAGGGTCCCTCATCCTTCAAGCAGTAATTAAACTTTTTAAAAAATCAAATGGATGCTTTAAAAAAAACCTTACTGGAAACAGAAGGAAAAAGCAGAGGATAATATCACCATGGAACTATTCCTTACAAAACTGGTATAACCATGTTAGTGGCTGGTTGGAAGCACCTTGAACAATCAATGGTTATTTCTTCAGCTGCCTGTTGATGGCATTGTTGCTTTATGGTAAAAGCAAAGGTAGGGTGTGCATGTAAGTTTAATGATAGGGAAATTGGAAGTGTTGGTTTGGACCTGAGTGTGCTAACATGTAGCATTTCAACTTTTGTTGAGAACCACTGGTCTAGAACAAATATTATCATAACTCTCTTTACTATCATGAAAAGGTCGAGAACACAGAAGTGGGGCAGCATCTACTTAAGCTGTGAAACACAGTCTAAATGTGATGCAATGCTTGGCAAACTACTACTAGGGAGCTGGATTCAGATCCCCTTCCAATCATGGATCTCACTGTCTAGGATTCCTTCATAATGCTGTTGTTTAGATATAATGTATATTGATGCCACATAAAGAGGTATTCCTGCTGCCACATCCACACATAAAGGATTTCCTTGGTCTTGGAAGCTAGTGTTTTGGAAACATTGCAAAACTTTTCTCTGTGGGTTAGTTTTTTATTTATTTATTTTATTTATTTGGTGCATTTGTTGACCGCCGCTCTCAGCCCTGGGGCGACTCGCGGCGGTGTACAACATTTAAAAACCATTTACAATAGAACACTACAAAAAACAACATATCAAAATACACAATCAACTAAATTTTTAGTAGCTGCAGTGGAACAGGAAATGAATGCACCTAGATGGAAACAAAAAAAATGAAGTTTGAGTTGAAGATGTCATAAGAGCTTTGAAGAAAGTACTTGCAGGTCGTTGGAAAGAAGCGTTGACTAGGAAATGCTGGAGACTGTCCTTTCATAGAGAACTGAAAATCTGGATGTTCCAGCAAGAACGATTAGTCCCTAAGCCCAGTTGGTAGGTCGTCAGATAGTCCTCTGTTCTGCACTTCATTCACTTCCCCTGCCCTATGATACGTTGTTTGGACTACCTTCGCCCAGCACTTTTAAAAAGATTATGTCCACTTTTAGTGCTTCCGGCCATTGCTATTGTTGAACCTCATTTGATGGAGCTCCAATGTTCTCAGTGTTTATATTTTATTTTTAGTTTGTTTTATCGGGTTATTTTGTATTTTATTATGTTTTTACTTTTATTTTTATTTTATTTCTTATTTTTATTTTTCTCTATTTTGTTATAGTTGTGTTGTTTTCTATTGTCTAATGTGTTTTTTCCTGAGGTAAACTGTTTGTATAGTTTTTGTTTGTGCATTGAATGTTTGCCATATTTGTTAGAAACCGCCTTGAGTCCCTTCGGGGAAATAGAGTGGTCTATCAATAAAGTTTGTTGTTGTTGTTGTTGTTGTTGTTGTCTGGGTACAACTATCTAGATTTTTTCAAATGAGCCATCAATCCAGGAGCTTACATTGTCACAAAGAACTGTCGGGTGCACATAACTCGCATGTGTTTACCTATTTAAAGGAAAGAGCAGATTCAATATTGAAGAGTGAGCTGGAGGTGGCACATTTAGTGAGTGTTGGGGTTCAGCCTGTGTGTGAATCTGTACCTGACTCTCTGATTGTATTTCCTGATGTCAATAAAAATGTCAATGATTCTGAGGTCAATGTAGAAGATGACGGTTTGTGTAATGAAAATCCTGCTGCTTTGGAAAGCGAAAGTCCAAATTCCCATGAGAATGATTCAGAGCCAAGCGTTGAACTTTCACTCCCTTTTAGCTCTCCAGATAATCTGACACCTGGTCCCTCTAACGAGGATAGACGGGGGCAGATTTGGCAAAGCAGAGGCAAAGCGCAGAGTTTACGGAGGTCAGCTAGATTAAGAGAAATGCAAACATAGCCTTCAGGCACGTCACGAAATAGATTTCTATGCTTTAAAAATGCTTGGCCTGGATGCCCATTTAGTCCAGGCATCGTTTCAGATTCATGTGCAGACTCTTGCAGTTCTCCTGCTTCCAGTGGCTTTGTTCCAAGGAATTTTTCTAGTGCTTCAAGTACGGTTAGTGGATTGCTAACAGGTTCCAGGATTTAGCAGTGTTACTGTGGGTTTTTGATTTTGTTCATGGACATTTCTTGTTGCTGATTTTTACTGTGGCTTTTTACCTTGCATATTTTTTTACTCATCCTTCATCAATAAAAAGGATTGTTTTTTCCTGAAGTCAAGTGTGGTGGGTTGTTGTCTTAGGGTCCAGTTTCCTGCTCTGGGTTGCAACAGTGAGTTTCAAGATAAAAGTGTTAATTGGAGGAGGTAATGAACAAAAGTATCAAACTTCTGCCTCTGATTGTGGATAGAGTGGAAGAATGCTGGCCCAGCCTCACATCCCCTCTTCCCGCAGATAGCTTCTCCTTTCACCCTGGTTTTACTTAAATTGGTATAACCTCCCTTGATGGGTGAAAGCAGTGAAGAAATGCCTTTTCCCCCCTCCCTAGATGTCTGCCATTAAAGAAAAGAATGAAAGTATAGAGAAGGTTGCCTCTATGACTGCCCAGCAGGAGTCAACTAAAGAAACACTCCGCAAGGTTTCAGAGGAACTGGCAGAAAAGAAAATCAGCTTAGAGGCTGCAGAGAGGCAAGTGGCTGAGTTGACGTCGTCTGTGCAAGAGAAGGAAAGCATGATTGAAGTGACCAATGAGGAAATCCAGAAACTCCGTGGTCGAGTAGATGGCAAACTGCAGGAGCTCCAACAACTGAAGACTGAAAGTGAACACCTACTAGGTGTCCAGTCGGAGTGTGACTCCTTGAAGCTGCAGCTGGTGGAGAAGGAGAAGGTGGTTGAGATCCTGCGGAAGCAGATCGAGAACATGACCCAGGTTATTGGCCAGCATAGCCGGACAGCTGGTGCATTGGAGTTGGAGAAATCTCAGCTTTTGAAAGAGGCAAATGACAAGAAACTTGAAATCCATGAACTTAAGGTATGTATATTTTATTCGATTCCCCAGATAGGGAGTGCTAATGTTTTTTAAGAAAGACATTTTGGTTGTTTTCTCTAGATTTTGCAGGACAAGAAAGACTGCCAGTTGCGCGAGTTAGAAGCCAGCTTGAGTGAAATGGAATTGGAGAAGGTGAAACTGATGAACGCAAATGCTGAGAGGCTCCGAGTGCTGAAAGAGATGAAGCTTGAAAGAGAAGAGCTCATCAATGAAATAAAAATTAGTCGCATTGAGCTTGCCACCTTAATGGGTTGGTAATCCTTCTCTGTTGATATTTTTAAGTACCGTATATACTCGAATATAAGCCGAGGCACCTTATTTTACCACAAAAAACGGGGAAAACGTATTGATTTGAGTATAAGCTGAAGGGTGATTTGAGTATAAGCTGAGGGTGGGAAATGGAGCAGCTACTGGTAAATTTCAAAATAGAAAATAACAAAATTACATTAGTAGGTTAAATGTTTTTGAATCTATATAAATAAAAATGTAATATTTGTTTGTGGGATTAACATAACTCAAAAATCACTGGACGAATTGACATGAAATTTGGACACAACACACCTAACAGTCCCATGAGTGTCCATCACCCATAAACACACACACACACACACACAACCCCATCGGAACAGACTTAAAAACCCAAAAATTACACCATATTTTTTCTTCGTGGTCTCCGTGAATGCACACATATGGAGTTCTGCGCCTGCGCAGGCTCCAACGGAAAAGTTCCCAAGTTTCAACGTTTTGGCGGTAACCCCGCCCAGCCGCCCGCAGGGCATAAAAGGCGCTCCTGCGCACACTCCCGGTAGTTCCTGTTTTTCCGCCGCACAGCTCGCTCGGAGAAGCTTTCCCATACTATGTCAACGACACGCTTCAAGCGTTGTACCGAATGCCCGAGAAAGATCCCTGACTCGGACAAACATTCGAAGTGTCTCCGCTGCCTTGGAGAAGGCCACAACACTTCGACCTGCAAACATTGCCAGGCGCTGTCAGCCCAATCCAGAAAGAACAGGGCGGCGCGCCTTAGAGTCCTTCTTCTCGAAGAATCCCTAGCTCCTTCGACATCGACTGCTTCGACGTCTCGAGCTTCCTCGATACCGACGCCCTCGACATCCGCGACGGCTTCGGGTCCGTCGGCGTCGACTTCAACGATGCAGGCCTCAAAACCCGCATCGACTTCGTCCAGGGCGTCCAAACGACCTGAAAAACAGCTGTGCACGCTGACAACACAGACGATGCCGGCAAGATGACCGTCCACCTCGAGATCGGTGGCCTCGGTTTGTTCGGCGAGGTCGACCACGGCTACACCGCCTTCGACGTCAGCGATGCGGATAGCCTTTAAGAGGTCGCATGAAGAGTCTCGCAGGTTAAAGTCTGCCCTGCTCGCGGTCCCTCCAATGCCGGGAAGATCCTTTCAGCAACCCCCGGCGAAAAAGAGGTTGCAGCCGAGATCGTCTTCTTCATCCTCCTCCAAACATCCGGCTCAATCGTCGTCAGCGACCTCATCGTCTAGGTCGTCTCCCATCCAGTCGGCTCAGAAACCCGGGCCGGTGATGGACGAGACTCCGGACATCCAAATTGAGGAAGAATTGCCTCCGTCACCGGTGCAATCGGTGTCGACCGTCGTCGAAAATCCTCCACCGGCAGCGAGGCAACAACTTTTCCCGCCTTCTACCCCAGAAAGGGGATGGCAGACCACGCGGTTGGCAAAAGCCGCTCAGGCCTCGGCATCTAAACAAGCGCCTCCACCTTCCTCCCCGGTGGGAGTGGCCAGGCCTCTCCAGATACCATCGAGACACCCCTCTTCCTCCTCTCAGCGCTCAGAGGAGGAAAAGCTCGACAAAGACATTCAAGGCTCTATACACTCAGAGTCTGTAATTTCTCTGGCTTTGGACAGATCTCCAACCCATGATACCTATGACGCCGACCCACCCTCGCCTACAGACAATGTTCGGGCCTTTGCCGACCAGATGGCGAGGATGGCAGAAGCGCTGGGTCTTGAGATTAAACAGACCTCAAAGGCAGTCACCGATCCGGTCTTTAAGAGGGTGCAATCTGAAGCCCCTCCGGCTCCACTGCTTCCTTTCCTGCCCTACTTATTAGAGGTCATCCAAGCGTCCTGGAAGACCCCTTCCTCGATACCCCCTACCTCTAAAAGAATTGAGGCATGGTATCGTACCGATGATGAGGGACTGGAGTGACTCAAACACCATCCCGACCCAAATTCCGTGGTGGTCAAGGCAGCCCAGTCAGGGAGGCAGTCCAACACCCCATCGGATCGAGAGGGAAAACGCTTCGATGCCGTGGGGAGAAAACTTTACTTGGGAGCCTTGCTCCTCACCCGAATGGTCAACTATGGGGCTTGCATGGGTGCCTACCAGCAAATCATCTGGGAGAAGGCCCAACCATTCCTGGAGAAGCTCTCCGAGGAAGATCGTGCAGTGATGTCTGCCCTCTCTCAAGAGGCCACCTCCCTAGCTCACCATCAAATGCAGATGGCAAAGCATACAGGTGATACTGCTGGCAAAATGATCGCACATGCGATAGCAATCCGGAGACACTCCTGGCTCCGGTCTTCTGGCCTCTCTACCTCTTCTCGACAAGTCATCGAGGATCTTCCCTTCGATGCTCTCGGCCTTTTCAACGCAGGGACTGATGACAAGCTGAAGTCCAATCAGGACTACAAACTCTTGGCCACTAAATGTGGTTTCGATAATCCACCGCAGGCTCAAAGAAACCGCTGGAATACTTACCGACAGCGTCATTTCTCCAACTACCCATATAGACAACAGTCGACGAGGCAGTCTCCACGGCCGGCTCAGGCCGCCCAAAACCAACCCCAGCAACAACAGCACCGGGGCCAGCAGAACCAGCGGTCTCGCTCCCGCCAGCCTCCGAACAACAACTCCAGACGTCGGGTTTGACGCCATCCTCGACGATACCGTCTCCACATCAGATACTTCTGCCGACTCCACCTCAACCCTCCCAGTTCTGCCCCATCCCAGAGAACCCGCAATCTCGAACCACGATCTTCCACAGTTTGGAAACCGTCTCTCAAAATTCATCGAGGCATGGCGACGCATCACATCAGATGCGTGGGTGCTCCATATTGTCAAAGACGGTTATGCCTTGCAGTTCAAAGAACTTCCTCCCACGGGCCGCATCGTCCTGACGGACCCGTCGCCGGCAATTCTGGCAGAAGTCGACTCCCTCCTCCAGAAAGGAGCAATCCAAAGGTCTCCATCTCACTTGGACAGTCGAGCCTTTTTTTCAAGGTACTTCACTGTACCGAAGCCTGACGGCTCCCTGCGCCCTATCCTAGACCTCAGGGCACTGAACAAATTCATTCGTCTCACGAAGTTCAGAATGGTCACGGTATCGTCAATAACTCGTATGTTGTATCGAGGCGACTTCTTTGCATCGATAGACCTAAGGGGCGCTTACTTTCATTTGTCTATCAGACAGTCCCACAGACGTTTCCTGTCCTTCAAAATCGGACAACAAACTTATTCCTTCTCCGTTCTGCCATTCGGCCTCGGTACGGCCCCAAGGACATTCATGAAATGCATGTCGGTGGTGGCGGCATTCCCCAGAAGACGGAAAATCCGGGTTTTTCCATACCTGGACGACTGGCTTTTGGCCTCGACATCGCCAAGGCTACTGGAGTCTCAAATCTCCTTCACCCTCAGACTTCTAGAGGATCTCGGCCTTCAGTTGAACGCCGAAAAGTCTTGCTTACTTCCATCGACATCGATAAAGTTCATCGGCGCCGACTTCGATTCCCTCTCAGAGACAGTGTCCTTACCAAAATTAAGATTCCAGGCCCTACAATGAGAAGTCAACCATTGCACTTCAACAACAAGACTAAGGGCGCGACACATCCAAGTACTCCTCAGCCATATGGCCTCGACGGTGATGGTCACCCCATTGGCCAGGCTGAAGATGCGCCCTCTCCAGAGGTGGTTTCTCGACAATTTCAACCCCCAACGAGATCCTGACTCCAAACTGCTGACAATGCCAGCGAGGGTCAAACATTCCTTGAGATGGTGGAAAGATCCCATCAACGTGTGCGTCGGCCTCCCATTCCACCCCAGACAACCGTCGACAGTCCTCACGACAGACTCGTCGACCTTCGCGTGGGGAGCCCACATCGACCACTTCTCGGTTCAGGATGTTTGGTCGACACAAGAAAAGACTCATCACATAAATTACTTGGAGCTCCTTGCCATTTTCAAGGCACTCAAATCATTCCTCCCTCTGCTACAGGGCAAGATGGTCCAAATACAAACAGACAATATGGTAGCAATGTACTACCTAAACAAACAGGGAGGAACAGGGTCGAGAAAGCTCCTCAAACTCTCCATCGAGATCTGGAAATGGTGCTGCCGGTACTCGATAGTTCCAACAGCGCTCCACCTACCGGGCCGAGTGAACGACCAAGCAGACTTTTTGAGCCGCTCGATGTCAACGTCCCATGAATGGAGACTCGATCCCGAGGTGATACAACAGATCTTCGACGACGGGACGGCCGTCGATCGACCTCTTCGCCTCTCCGGACAACGCTCATCTTCGGCCCTTTGCGGCCCGTCTTCCCCGGGACGATGCCAACGGGTGTCTCGGAGACGCCTTCCTCCTCGACTGGTCAACCGAGTTCCTCTACATGTTTCCCCCGATCCCGCTGTAGAAGGGATCGAGAGAATCGAACGGGTCCAGTCCAACTGCATCCTCATCGCACCAGAATGGCCACGCCAAGTGTGGTTCCTGACTCTCTCTCGGCTGGCCAAGGGTCGAGTGATACGCCTGCATCCCAGGCCGAATCTCCTCTCCAGAGAGCAGGGCCTTCTCCTCCACCCGGACATCCCATCCCTGCACTTGGCCGCTTGGAGGATTCTTCCTTGACATCCCTTCCTCCCGAGGTTCGATCGATCATGGAGGCGGCCCACAAGCCTTCGACTTCAAAGGCCTATACTTACCATATCGCACGGCTTCATGCCTTCCTCCGAGAACGGTCGTGTACCGAGATGCCGCCTTCGGTACAAACCATACTAGACTTTCTCCTCTCTTTGGCCGATCAGAAACTGGCCTTGTCGTCGCTGAAGTCTTATGTGGCGGCCTTATCCTGGTACTTCCAGAAACTGGGTTCACCGTCCCTGTTCCAGAACCACTTCATCAAAACTTTTCTTCGGGGTTATAATAACCTGACCCCCCAGTCTACCCTCCTACCCCAGGATGGAGCCTCGACCTCGTCTTAGCTCAACTGACTGGCCCTCCCTTTGAACCACTGGCCACAACCGACTTGAGGCTGCTCTCCTGGAAGGTTGCCTTTTTGGTTGCGATCACATCTGCTCAAAGGCCCTCGGAATTAGCAGCCCTTCGAATCGACGAACCTTACCTTTTGTTCCACTCTGATCGAGTAGTCCTCAGAACTGACATTACCTTCTTGCCGAAGGTAGTATCTGCTTTCCACGTGAACGAGGACATTGTGTTGCCTTCTTTTTTTCAACACCCATCTTTGTCGACGGAGAAAAAGCTCCATGCCCTTGATGTCCAAAGGGCTCTCCTCTTCTATAGACAGAGAACGACTTCTATCCGTAAGACGCCTAGGTTATTTGTGGCCTACGCGCCGGATAAAGCTGGACTACCAATATCACAGCGAATTTCTCGCTGGATCGGGTCGACAATTGAACTATGTTACGAATTGGCCCGTAAGACTCCCCCGACCTCAGTTTGCCCGAGGTCGACAAGGGTCATGGCTGCCACGACAGCTTTCCTCAAGGGTGTCCCCATTGACTTGATTTGCAAAACGGCCATTTGGTCCAACCCGATGACTTTTGTTTCGCACTATCGTTTGGACACTCGTTCTCGAAGAGACACTTTATTTGGCAGGTCAATTTTGACCACTTGCCCACCCTAACCATGTCAAGGTTTTTGTTCACTTGTTGATCTACTTGCACTGATATGCAATGTTATTCCATGCCTTATCTTTTTGCTTTATCTAACAAGCTAAGCCTGGACCTGTGGATACCATACACACCCCACATGTAGATTGTAACTGCCTTTATTGCACTTATGCTTGTATGCTGCAATTTCCACTCGTTCTTTGTTGTCTTATTGACCTTGCACTTGTTCGTGTATTGCATTTGCACTCGTTTGGGTCTCATTGACCTTTATCCGTCTATCCCCTCAATAGACATGTTTTCCTCAGGTTATTTATCCAACTGAAGTTGATGTATTATGTTATTCTTGTTGGGCCATTTTTACATGTATCGACCGTGCTTGTGTTGTATCGACCGTGCTTGTGTTTACATATATGTTTCTTCACAACATGCACTCTTAATGGATTTATTGCATATATTTGTCGATCCTTCAATAAACATGTGTTTGACCCTTAACTGGTGTCGGTTTGTTCCCACCTTCCGGGACCTTAGCTTGCTAGTTCTCCATATGTGTGCATTCACGGAGACCACGAAGAAAAATGGTAGGTTACTCACCTGTAACCATCTTTCTTCGAGTGGTCCTCCGTGAATCCACACAAACCCGCCCGGCCGTCCCCTCTTCAAACCTCCCCCTTTTTCCTCGCTAATGCGGCGTAGGAACTACCGGGAGTGTGCGCAGGAGCGCCTTTTATGCCCTGCGGGCGGCTGGGCAGGGTTACCGCCAAAAATTTGAAACTTTTTTTTTTTGATAATTTTTATTGAAAATTTTCTTTGTGTTACAAAACATAGAAAAAGACTATATAGYGATTGTGAATAAAAGAAAGAAAAAGAAGAGTGCAGGYGGGAAGGAAAAGAAGGAGGGGTAGGGGTGTGGGGAGAAGGGAAGAAGGGGATAGAGGGGGGGGAGGAAAGGGAAGGAAAAAGGAAAGGTGTAGAAGGAGAAAGAAGAAGAAGGGATAGACAAAAAAAATATATAAATAAAAATTTGGAGACCGATGGAAAATGTCTCTCTCGTTGACTTCCTTCATATCTTCCGAGTGGATGTTCCTTTTCCTTCTTCTATTCTTGGCCTCTTTACCATTCRCTCTTCTACTTATTCTTCTGTGTTATTACTTATGTGYTCRGTATAATCTATCACRCTTGTCCAATCAGTTTCTTTTATTGGGGTTCCTTTASTTTTAGTTATCAAATATGTTAATCTGTCCATATTTTTAATYTCCAYTACTTTCTCAATCCAATCCTTTATTTCAGGGGTTTCTTCTTTCTTCCAYAGTTTCGCGTAGCACATTCTTGCCGCAGTATTCATTAAYAAGAGAAGTTTATCTTTGTTTTTTTCCAATTTTGTATCAGTCACTCCTAATAGGAATATTTCCGGTTTGAAYAGTAATTTCWCATTTAAAATTTCCTGTGTTATTTTGTAAATTTTTCTCCAGTATATTTGTGCTTTTGGGCACGACCACCACATGTGGAAGTACGTGCCCTCCATTTTCCCACACTTCCAGCATTTAATATTTAAGTTTTTATATGAGTTGTTTAATTTTTTAGGGGTCATATACCACCTATGCGCTACCTTCAGCCAATTTTCCTTTAGATCTATTGCATAGGTATATCTGATCTTTGTTTTCCAGATCTTTTCCCAATTTTCTTTCTTAATTATTTTGCCCAAATTCTCGTTCCATCTTTTCATATATTTTTTCTCTCCATCTTTTTCTGAGTTCCATTCCCTCAGTATCTTATATAGCTTTGTAATTATCTTTCTATTGGAGTTTAATATCTTGTCCCAAAACGTCTCCTGTTCCTCAAACCCGAGCTTTCTATCTTTCTTATAGCACTCTATTATCTGTCTATGCTGAAACCACGATATATTCTTATTTATCGCATTCATCTCTTGTTGTGTCTTCATTACCATCCCCTCTCCTTCTTTTTTTAATAAATCTTTATATTTTGGCCAGTTATACCATCCCATTTCTCTTCTTTGGGTGGCTTCCAATGGGGAAAGCCATAATGGGGTTTTTTCACATATTTTTGATTTATATTTCTGCCAAATTTTTATAATTGCGGATCTAATAAAATGGTTCCCAAATTTTTTCTCTTTCTTTGGATCTCCGTATCATAAATAATGGTGCCAGCCTGTTCTTAATTCAATTCCTTCTAGGGTAAGCAATTTTTCTTTCTTCAATTCTGCCCAATCTTTCACCCACATCAATGCACTCGCTTCGAAGTATGACCTTAAATCCGGAACTGCAAAACCCCCCCTTTTTGTGTCCTCGGTCATGTTTTTAAAATTTATCCTTGCTTTTTTACCTTGCCAGATAAATTTCATTATTTCCCTGTTCCATTCTTTTAATAAGTTTTGATTTCTAAGTATTGGTAGATTTTGAAAAAGAAAAATAAATTTAGGCAATATTTTCATTTTGATACTGGCAATTCTCCCTAATAGAGACAGATTCAGGTTTTTCCAGCTATCCATTTCTTTTTTCATTTTTTTCCATCCCTCTATGTAGTTGTTTTGTAATAGCTGTAGGTTTTTAGCAGTCAATATTATACCTAGATATTTCAGTTTGGTTACGATCTGAATATTCCAATTTCTTTGAAGTTTGAAACTTTTAAACTTGGGAAGTTTTCCGTTGGAGCCCGCGCAGGCGCAGAACTCCATATGTGTGGATTCACGGAGGACCACTCGAAGAAAGATGGTTACAGGTGAGTAACCTACCAATACATACACTCATATACATATGCACATGCACACATTCATTCACACACGTATAATATTCACAAATACACACATACACATACATATATACTAGGCTTGGTTGATCCTGCTTGTTAATTGCTAATCTCGTTAAGAAATTGTTAAAAAATTACCTTTAGAAGTGATATTGATGCATTTTGGGAACCCGGGAGTGTTCTTGCCAATACGAAGCCGCGTTCACCATTTTTAATACGACTTCCGCCAGTATCGGAAATGAGGAGAAGCCAGGTATGGAGGGGTGGGGTTTCTGCAGGGCAGCCATTGCCCTTTAAAAGGAGCCGTGTGTGCTTTGTGGCTCCATTGGGAGACGTGATAGGGACTGGAGAGGAGGGAGAGGGTTGTCTGCTGCTGGTGATTTTCAGGGTACAGGTCCCTGGCTGGCCTGCCTGCCAATTGCCAAATAGCCAGTGCCACACAGCAGGGAAAAACAGAGACAGGGTTTTGAAGAGAAGCCCTGGTTTCTCTGTCTGGGGGCATTTTATTTTTAAAAGGAAAAATCTTATCCATTTTTTCCTTTCTACCTGTCCTACCTTTTTCGTTTTTGGAAACTATAACTGGGGCTTTGAACAAATAAAGGCCCATTTATAAAGAAACCCCCATTTATTATTATTTTTAATTTTTAATTTTATTTTAATTTAATTTTTTACTATATTATTTTCTTTTTTTTTCTTGGGGAAAAAAATCAAGAAGTTAAAATTCTTAGACAACATGGCCACCTTTGTAACCAGGTAGCAGATATAAGATAGACCAGGTATAGAAAAACTTCAGCCCTCAATTGTGGACTTCAATTTCCACAATTCCTACCAGCCGGTAGAGTTGGAAGTCCAAAACACGTTGGAGGCTGAAGTTTGCCCATGCCTGGTCTATCTTACATCTGCAACCTGCATGTCTTAGTACTCTTCCTCTGGAGATTTCTTCCCTGCTGGTCCCTGGGACACCTGCATTGATTTCTTGTTGATTTTGCTTGCACACATTCACCAATGCATATCAATCTGATTCTGTTGCCCCTTGCAGAGGAATCTGAAGTTATAAAAAGCGATTTCCAAGAAAGAAGTGAAGAGATGGAAACTACTGTGAACAAACTGAAGTTGCAACTGAAATCTGCTCAGCTTGAACTGGAACAAACTAGGGCCACCTTAAAGAATATGGAGGGGTCTGATGGTCATGGTAATCATAGAACCGTTATTTTTGCACTCCAAAACAGAAACGATACCCTCTGACTTTAAAACACACCACACATTGAGTGAAATGAAAACCCAATCCTTTTTATTGAAGCTGAGTAAAATAGCCAGTGGAAAGAAATGCTTGTAAAAACAGAAAATTTTCAAAATGTAAAAGATCAGTAAAATGCAGTAATTCAAAGCAATGTCCACAAAAGATATAAAAACAATCCAAGGCAGTATTTATCCAGACAGGAATCAACAGGTTACAAAGATAATCCAGAAGGTGCTAGACCACAGCAAAATGGTAAAAATCTCTATAAGAACAAGACCCCTTGAACAGGATTTCCATGGCACATGAACATGATTTACAAATGATGCCTGATCTAACAGGCTTTCCCTGGAAGCAAACCTTATATCCCAAAGCCCAAAAATTGGTTTTGTTTTCCCCCACTCTTGCCTTTTATCTGACAAAGCCTTTCGGAGCGACGTAAACATTGAGTTTGTTGTCGATCTTGGCTGAACTCTAGCCGCTTATTTTTCAACTCCTTTTCTGGCTGCTCATTAAAATTTCCAGGTGTCAGATTGTTTTCCAAACTCAAATCTTGAGAGCTCACAGAAAGAGGGAGTAAGCCATCATCTTTAAACCCAGCAGGAATATTCTCATGAGAAACTACCCTTTGCACTGGGGCCTCTCTGTCATTGTCTGCATGGAAATCATTGACCAAACCATCTCCATCTTGCACCTCGGCCTCAGCACCATCATTTCCCTCATCATGTCCCACATCAAGAGCATCATGATCCTGAGCATCATGAAACACAAACACAGGCTGATTCCCAACAGTTTTTCTCCCTGCAGAATAGTTGTTTTTCCCATTGTGAGGAAGTGGTGTTATTTCTTCATTTGAGGTTTTAATGCAGAATTTCACATGAATGTTAGTGAATCAGAACTGAGCATTCAGCATGGAATCGGAAACCACAGAGTTGGTGGAGCTAATACGCCTTACATATAGCTAGGAATGATCAAGATCAGTGGTTCCCAAATAGTTGATAACACTTAGAAATGGTAAAAGCACTGCAAGGGTTGCATTGTAAGTGCAGTATGTTTACCCCACCTACTTTTTGAATTTATTCTTACTGTGGGGTTGTAAGTCAATTCCATCACTAGCTCACATGCAACATCTTGGAATATCAATTTCTAGAAGAAATGGATGGTTTTTCTGGTTATGAAAGGTCATGTAAAGATAATGTTAGACCAGTGTTTCTCAACCTGAAGGTCGGGACCCCTGGGGGGCGGTCGCAAGGGGGGTTTCAGAGGAATCGCCAAAGACCATCAGAAAACACATTTCTGGTGGTTCTAGGAATGAACCCCTTTGGCAGAGAAGACTGAAAATCTCTCAGCCTCCCCTTCTCTTCCTTTTAAAGAGGAACAGTCAGAAGACAGGGGAATTCCAGATAGGAAACAATCAGGGCCAGCTAACACCTCCCAACAAAGGAGTCCCTCAGACAGGAAGCAGCCAGGCTTTGAAGCTGCAAGGCCATTCAATGGTAATCAAGGTGTCCAATGGCAACATTCACACTGGCCTCAGGAAATTCCACAGATATATAAATCCCACTTACCTAATTTCCAATAAGCCTCACAACCACTGAGGATGTGTGCCATAGATGTGGGTGAAACATCAGGAGAGAATGCTTCTGGTACATGGCCATACAGCCCGAAAAACTCATAGCAATCCAACTCTGAATAGTCCTTGCTTAAGAAAACCCAATAAAATTCATAGAGTTCATTGACATATGACTTGAAAACACATATACATACATATACCAAGAGTCATTTTTGTTATTTTCTGTTGAATCTGTATTTTGGAAACAGCAACTGTTTTTACTTGGTGATCTTTTTCATTGCTTTCAAAACAGTGGGACCTGAGCATATATATTTCTTTTCTGAAAGCAGTGGTTTAATGTAAACCCCCCTTGAGAATCTATCATAAGCCTTGGAGCTCCCAGAAAGTACTTCACATTGAGAGAAGCGTCTTATGGATCTCCAAAATAAAATCAGTTTATGCATGTCCAATAGAGATATTTTTTCCCATCTGGAAGGACTTTTGCAAAGCAGCCCTTGACTTCATGCTGCAGGTTGATTTCCTTATCCTGCACAGGTGGCCCACCCACCGTCGCTGTGATTGTGTTCATTGTAATGTTATATTGTTAATGCATTCATATGTTTTTGTGTAATTATGATGCTGTTGCTTATGTTTTTGGTTTTATTTTGCTGTAATATGTTGTTTGGGCTTGGCCTCCTGTAAGCCGCCTCGAGTCCCCGTTGGGGGAGATGATGGCAAGGTATAAATAAAGATTATTATTATTATTATTATTATTATTATTATTATTATTATTACTATTATTAAATACAAGGTTAGAGTAATTTCAGAAAGTTTGGCTGCAAGTACTTATTCCACACTACTGGAAGAATCTTATTTTGGCCAGAACTAGAAGCCTGAGGGCATTGTCTGTACTAAAGCATGGTGTTATACCTGCAGAGTTTCTTAAACACTGTTGCCAGAGGAAAGCTGGCACTAACATGACTGTAATTACTCTCTTTTACAGCCATGAAAGTCGCAATGGGGATGCAAAAGCAAATCACAGCCAAGCGAGGTCAGATAGAAGCTTTGCAGAGCAAGATTAAGTTCTTGGAGGAAGCGATGACTGCAGCAACTAAGGTTAAAACTGCTAAAACATTTATTTTATCTCTCCTAATTCTGTAGTAGCAAAACAATCCCACAAAAACCCATTGTAACTATCTCAAATATATGTTGTAGTAGTCTACACTTTTATTGAAAAACAACACATTTATTCTGCTCACTTTAATTGTTAGAGTGGATCATGAACCACCTTTTCACAAATTCTTCTGAAGTGAGTACAGGTTGAGTACAGATTATCTGGAAGTCTGAAATCCTCCAAAACCCCAAATTGTTCACATGAGTGGCTCATATAATTACAAATTTGCCTTCCAATCGGTCAGTGTAAACAAACTTTTTTTCCCCACAATTATTTACAATCTTGTGGTTAAAAAAACATTTTCAGACTATAGATATAATGTGTATAATGACCTCATCACATTTGAATCATAGAGTTGGAAGAGACCTCATGGGACATCCAGTCCAACCCCCCGCCAAGAAGCAGGAATATTGCATTCAAATGACCCATGACAGATGGCCATCCAGCCTCTGTTTATAAGCTTCCAAAGAAGGAGCCTCCACCACACTCCGGGGCAGAGAGTTCCACTGCTGAACGGCTCTCACAGTCAGGAAGTTCTTCCTCATGTTCAGATGGAATCTCCTTTCTTGTACAAGGAACGTACTAGGACGCGAAACAAGCCATTGTTTCGCGTCCTAGTCTCCAGGGAAGCAGAAAACAAGCTTGCTCCCTCCTCCCTGTGGCTTCCTCTCACATATTTATACATGGCTATCTCCTCTCAGCCTTCTCTTCTTCAAGCTAAACATGCCGAGTTCTTTAAGCCACTCTTCGTAGAGCTTGTTCTCCAGACCCTTGATCATTTTAGTTGCCCTCCTCTGGACACATTCCAGCTTGTCAATATCGGAGAATGGATCCACTTTAAATTTGGTTTCTGCTTCCTGCAGAATTCTGTGGTTTATAGTTTAGTGAGGTTGTTAAAGGCTCCTCCCTAAACTACAAACCCCAGAATTATGCAGGAAGCAGCAACCAGATATAAAACAGATTCATTCTCTAGTGTTTAAGAAACAGGAATGAATTTCCTGTTTAATCATGGGTCTCCTATCCAAGATATCTCATTATGTGTATGCAAATTTTCTGAAGTCCAAAATACTTCTGGTCCCAAGCATTTTGGATAAGAGATACTCAACCTGCATGTAGTTTTCATTTAGGATAGACCCTTATATTTATTAAATGAACTCTTGTGTTATTTTCTCTTCCAAACTGGCAAATCTGAGCATTGCTGAAGAGAATGGTTTAATTAAGATTTAACACAAAATCAATACAGCTTTAGGGAGAATTTAGGGGCTTTTATTTCTGCTTTTGGTTACCCTCAAGTGATGGTGTCCTCCAAAGGTAGCCAGTACTACAGCACTACGCTACACCACACTGGCACTTTTGGAAATAACTAAAAACTTGGTTCTTTCAACAGGACTTTGATAGCAGCCAGACTATTCTTTAGCCAGGGAGGGCTAAAATGATTGCATGGATTTTTAATTAATGACTTTTGCTATATTTTGTTTTTATCAATTTTATATTTCTGGTTTAAAATATGTTATTGTATTTTTAATGTTGATATTCTGTATTTTATATGTGGTGTGGCACCATGTGTGCTGTTGTAAGCTGCTCCGAGTCCCTATGGGAGATGGTGGCTGGGTATAAATAAAATAAGATTATTATTATTTGAAACACAACAAGATGAGTCCACAGCAGACACTCTGCTGGCTATTGTATTGGATCACACGTCGGACACTTCCCAAGTGTCTAGGACTGTGTGATATATCGGCGAATAATGCGTGCAGATCCCAGTAAGGTCACCTTTTGCATGTGGCAGATGATAATTTTGTTAGCGCCAATTGTGTTTAAGTGCAGGCCAAGGTCTTTAGGCACTGCACCCAGTGTGCCGATCACCACTGGGACCACCTTGACTGGCTTGTGCCAGAGTCTTTGCAGTTTGATCTTTAAATCCTCATATTGTGTCAGCTTTTCCAGTTGTTTCTCTTCAATCCTGCTGTCACCCGGGATTGCAACACCGACAATCCATAGATATTGTTGTTGTTGTGGTTATTATTCTAATGAATCTTGACCAGTTTTTATATTTGTTTTAATGAAACATAGTTTTAATGTTTAGATATAACACTAAGATGGTTAATATAAAACTGAAGCGGAAATTGAAGTTTTCAGTTTCTTCCTTGTGGTCATGTTAGAAAAAGAAGGCAAAGCACACCAAGTCTAAGACATTCTCATAACACTAAATTATGATTTAATGTTATGAGCAAATCAATACTGGCACACCACACAGACCATGTGAAATACTAGTAAAAGTATATTCTTTGGACTTGTGAAAAGAAAGATGAAGCAATTTATAGTAGAGCAAGTTATCAGTGTTATGATCATCTTTACAAGAAAATCAGTGAGTTCCAAAATCATCTACCATATTATATTTCCTTAGGTATTTTTTAAATGTAGTACTGAGTATGGACCAGTTGTCATGCCCAGTTATAATAGTGAATCTACCAGTCACAATTCATTTATGCCATCACCCATAAAAGTGAGGGTCATGGGATCACAGTTGGTTGGCATTTCATCAAATTATCATCTTATGTTGAGATTTTGAAATTCAAATTTAAGAATTAAAGTTCTTGAAAGATTCAATGTCAGATTTATTTTAGTCTTTTCATTCAATTTAGGAGAAGCATTACCTGAAAGAGGAAAGAAATAAGCTGAGCCAGGAACTGACCTGTATGGCAGCTTCAAACATCAAAATGGCAGAAGAGCTGGACATTCTAAAGTCGCAGGATAAGCGCTTGAAAGAAAAACTTGCTACCATGGAATCTGCACTGGATAAGGTATGCGTTTCCTCTGTTAACTTCCACAATTGGCTCTACTGTTAAACTGAGGGATATTTAGGGATCACATAAATGCAAATCTGTATACAGGATATCACCCAGCCAGAGTTAATGGAATTCACTTAAATTTTGAAGTGATCAACATTTACAAGGTCTTTCACCATTTCTGCCAAAGATTCTGGTTTTTCGCCCAACTACAAATCCCATACCATAGACCTGTGGCAACTAAAGTGGTGTCAAACTGCATTACTTCCACAATGTAAATGCATCTTCAGTTTGCTAGTAATCATAGCCTCAGATAATTATATTCCAAATTGATGATAGATCTTACCTTTCTCAAAACATTTCTATCAAGCTATCATATTACTGTCACAAGATACTAACGACAATCCTTAGGTCAAAATCCCATCACAATGCCTTTAACATTGTCCCCTACAGGCCTCTATGCAGTTTGCAGAGTGTCAGTGCATCATGCAACAGCAGGAACAGGAAGCTATGCGCTTCAAGCTTCAGCATACTTTGGATGTAAAAGTACGTCTTCTGCTTCACTCTGGTGTTCTGGAAGCATGTCCATTTTTAAAATATATATATTTCAATGGATTTTATTTTCAAAAACTGGCATTTTCCTATTTCAGAATATTCTTGTGTTAACCCTCTATAGACTTTGTTCCCAAATATATCAAAGATCCCTGGGATAGATTACACCACGTCTCAACCCCCTATATCTAAGGCTAGATCTACATTGCCATATAATGCAGTTTGGAACTATATTATAAGGTCGTTGGAAACCCAAATAATGCAGTTCAACTTAGGTACTTTTACTTCCAGTTTCTTGCCAGTGAGAATAGTGCCTCGTGAAAAATGTACAGTACTGTTCTTCCTTGTAATTACATTCCCCTTATTTATGCATGGATTCAACCATCTGAGCTTGTTGCAGGGTCCATACATGTGCTGCCGTTTCTGTTAAGCAGGCTGCAATTAATACTGGGCAAAATTTTAAAATTAGAAAGTTAGCTTTCACAAAAAAGTTCCTCATCCTTTGATTTCTGTGGTGAATTCTTTTATATGATACTCATAAGGTCTCTCTTTCACAGGAGTTGCAGGGGCCAGGTTATATACTGGGCTCCTCATCAGCAAAGCAGCGACATTGCACTTTGCCACACTCCCACCTGTCCAGCGCCCCCACATCCCAAGGCTTTGCAGACCACGTCTCACTGGTAAATATTCTCTAACACAGGCATGGGCAAACCAGCCTTCCAAGTGTTTTGGACGTCAGCTCCCATAATTCCTAACAGCCTACCAGAATGCCTGCTATGGCATGACAGTATCACTGTAAAGCTGCTGTCATGTTCATCT